TTGAAGAATTACTGTGCCCAGCTTTAAGAGGAATCCAAAAATCTAGAGTTTTTAGAGTATACCAATTGTTAGGAATTAATAGTTGTAATAGTGTGATAACTCAAGGTGTGATCTGCCTGCTAGTCCAAGCCTACATACTAATGATTACTGACCCACAATGAAGTAATTACCGAAAAAGCATTTAGAACTTTTTAGAGCAATTTAACAATCTGCTGTCATTTACAGATTACAAAACTTTGTATTTACAGATCACAGATTATAAAAACTTTGTATTTTGGATTCCTTTTTCTTTTCATTTTTTTTAGAAAATCATTTTTTATTGTATTTTACAAAAGAATCTCAGTCCATGACAGATTGCAAACATAAAACACTGGCCCTTCAACATGGATGATTTGAAAAGGACTGGGTACAAGATAAACATCCATAACATTTAACTCAAGCTGAGGTTTGCATCAGTCACCTGGGGGGGGTGGGGGGGCGGGGGTGGGGAATGTGGTTCTCTGGGAACAGCATCAGAAGGGGTTTAGAAAACAACAGAAATTCTCCTTTTCCAGCCCTAAGCATCAATAATATCAAGACATACCTTTTCTATTTTCCAGCTGAAATTTAGCACCATTATCAAGTAGGTATTTTACAGTATCCAGCCTGCAGCTTTCAATGGCTCTAGTTAAAGGAGTTGAGTTGTTGATTGACAGTGCGTCTATTGAAGCTCCAGCTTTAACAAGAAGCTCAACAATATCTTGTTGGCCCGCATGGCATGCAAAATGAAGTGGAGTCCACAGAAAATTATCTGTTGCATTAACGTTAGCTCTATAAAATAAGACAGAGGCACAACTAAAACTACTGGTTGTTTCAAGCATTCGAAGCTAAAAATGCAAAGTAGAATTTCATACAGTTTTACTAAGTGGTTAAATGGTAACCCAGGGAGCTCTGAGTGTAGTTAAATGCTGCTTTCTTTAAAAGTTCTTTAATTGTTTCTACAAACCATTTTCTTGTGGATTATTTGACAATCTTAACTTTATGAATATGTACATTTTGTTTGGTTTTCAAAGGCATCCTAGGGATTACAATTTTGGGGGCAAGATTAAACTCAAGGAAAATTATAAAATTAGATCCAAAGGAAGTAAAAACTAACAGGAAACAGTGAAGTTATTACACTACGCTGCTTCCTGCCTATAACTTCATTATAAATTCTAAACATTGTAATGTTTTATTTAAACTTTTAATCCTCTTTAGAAATTCACTGCCCAAAAGATTAAGTTCTTTATATCCTTTTTGACACTATAAAAATTTGAGTCTTTCTTTGACATTAATAGAATGAATAACATTAACACCTATTCTCAAATATGCAGTCTCGACACTAAATGCTTTACGTATATTAACTCACTTAATCTTCAAAAAAATTCTGAAAGAAGTCCCGTTAGAGCCCCCATTACATAAATGAGAAAACTGAGGCACAAAGATGTTAAGAAACTTATCCGGGTTATATGGGTATAGAAGTAGATGGATTAAACCTAAGCAATTGTTGTAGTTTAAAATGTTAATAAAAATGCCACGTTTTAATAGTTTAGAGATATTTACAAGTGAACCAAGGAAAAGACCATCCTCTCAGGAGGAGGACATTGGGAGTTATGCCGCCCTCCCGGTCCGAATAACTGTTATTTGCAAACCCACCTTTGTGCACTCACAATCCCACGTTCCCATTAGCTTCGTTCCCCACATAAGATCTATTTCTTGTAGATGTCAGTGATCAAGCAACTTCCTGTGCTAAAAAATCTGGACCTGAACATTTTTTAAAGGCCTTCTTCCCCCTCCTTGAGCTGCGAAGACTCCCGTCCCTCTGCCCGAGCACCTACCCTTTCTCCAGAAGGAACTTGACCACGTCTATGTTCCCGCTCGCACACGCCGTCATTAGCGGGGTTTTGTAATAATTATCCTTCATATCCACAGGGATGCCTGATTCAAAAGCCTTTTTCAGAGAAGCCAAGTCACCTGCCTTGGTGATGAAATTAATATTTTCGTAGACCTTGCCCGGATCGTCGATGTACCAGGCAGAGTCGTCCTGAATGGGGTGCTCGGGCGGGTGGTCTCTGTTAAATCGATGGGCGTCCGTGACGTTCGAGTAGGTCTCTATCATGTAATAAGGGGGGCCGCCGTCCTGCCGGCGTGGAAACGCCTCCTCCGGAATGACGCAGACTGGGAGGGGTAGAACAAATTTGCCTTTCCTTACTTTTTTGCCCATCCCTTTTTTCTTTTTCTTAACCCCGAAAGATCCCAATACGTAAGACTTGCTTAAATATTTGGTTCCTTTAAAGAACTCATTCACGTTGACCCCTGCTCCCCGGGTTTTTTCATGAAGTTGAGCTATGGTAAGGAGCTGGTCCGAGCTTGCAAAATCCTGTCTGTCCTCCAGCGTCAACACGAAGTCCTCCTTGGAGATGGTCCCATCGCCCCGGTCCCCAACCGAGAAAGCTTCGCGGAGGAAAGCCTCCTGTTCTATGGACCAGTCATGCAGCCTGAGGGCCCAGAGCGGGTTGGGGTTTTTAACTCCGGGCTTGGCTAGTCGAGTAGCGGTTCTCTCTGCTCGATATATTTCTTTGCTTGCGAGTTTGAAGCCTGCGTCCTTGGCCACAATTCTGGGTGTTTTATGTTCTAAATTCTTCCATTTCAGGTCACATCCTAAAACATGAAACATCGTTATTAGGAATGGCGCCAAGACATATCTCCATCCCCCTACGAGTGACAGTCATCCAATTTTTTGTTAATTTCAAATGATTAATCGAAAATGTGTCCCAAACTCATGTGTATAGGAGACAAGCCACGGTGCAATTCTATACTAATTCTGAGTGCAGTGTTTTTACGTAGCTATTTTGCTTACTTAGGGTGTTTGGAGGTCTTATCTAATACCTCTCAAGCCAATCCTTCTATGTTCACCCACCTCTAAGGACCAAAGGATTTATTTTATTTTATTATTAATTTTAATTTTATTATTATTTTATCATTTCATTTCATTTTATGACACAGAGTCTCACTCTGTCACCCTGGATAGAGTGCTGTGCTGTCATCATAGCTCACAGCAACCTCAAACTGTTCAGCTCAGCCTTGCTGCCATGTCACCTGGCTAATTTTTCTATTTTCAGTAGAGATGGGTCTCGATCTTGCTCAGGGTGGTTTTGAACCGATCTCAAGCAATCCACCTGCTTCAGCCTCCCACAGTGCTAAGATTACAGGAGCCAGCCATTGTCACTTGCCATCCAAGGATTTTAAACCTGCTTCAGCTGACCCTCTGTAGCTTTCAGTTTCCTCGTGGTTAGAAACTTTTATGCGGATAAAAGACACCAATATCCCAGCATAAAGCTCTAAAGGCAATTTTTCTCCTTTTGACTTGGGACTTCCTGCCTCTTCCTTTACGATTAGTAAGTAAAGATCCATTCATTCTCTTTGTGCTCTTTCTCTATGGTAACCATGCTCAACTTGAAGCTGACAGGTGCTGCAAAAGTCAGAGAGCTGAAGGCCTCCGAAGCCCCCTCAACTCCCCTCCCACACAGCCACCAGAGAGTTGTAAACTGCGCCAGGAGGACCAAGGGCTAAAAGAGAAGCATTGGGAGGAAATGTGGGGAAAAAATCAGCCAGCACAAATGCTTTACACTTCAATACAGAGAGATTAAACCCAGGGAGTTTATCCAGAAAGGAGCATTTCATTGCTGATGGTTTCTTGAAGCTCTAGTAACTTTAATCTGAGATTCTAAAAGCAGAAATGTAACGGATAACCCTTCTGCTGTGACACTGGATTATCCACCAGGATCATCCACCAGGATCTGGAGAGGCGGTTGTATTTTCTAACATGCTCAGAACATGTTATGCTACCGTCCATTTCCAGACATTTGCTTCAGAAACAGTCTTATGATTCTCACAGGAAAGTGGATTTTTTTCTGACTTAAGTTCTGGCCTTTTGCCTCTCAATGTGCTTTCTGTGATTTTATCCCAGTAGCACAGAAATGATGGAGTATTTGTGCAGTAACATTTGTCCCAATAAGGCATGTCCACATGGTAAAGTTGAAGAAGCTTGTCGTAACGGGCATATCTTTCGGTTTTAGAAATACATAACGTTGAAAATGAAGTATCAGGCTGGGCATGGTGGCTCATGCCTGTAATCCTGGCTCTCTGGGAGGCCTAGCTCTCTTTTTGAGCTCAGGAGTTCAAGACCACTCTGAGTAAGAGTGAGAACCCATCTCTACTAAAAATAGAAAAACTAGCTGGGTGTTGTGGTGAGTGCCTATAGTCCAAGCTGCTCAGGAGGCTGAGGCAAGAGGATCTCTGAAGTCCAAGACTTCGATGCTGCTGTGATCTTTGATGACGCCATAGCACTCTACCAAGGGAAACAGAGTGAGGCTCTGTCTCAGAAAAAAAAAAAAAGAAAAGAAAAAGAAAAGAAAAGAAAGAAAGAAAATGAAATATCAGAATAAATAACAGCTAGTGAGAGACCAGAAGACAAGATCAATAAGACGGTTTGAGAAGGCAAAAATTGAATTTGAATTTGATATATTTTTCTTTCCTCATTTTTTAAAAGGATTTATTCTATTTGGGAGGATGGGAAAAGCATAAATTTGAAAATCAAAATTGGATCAGTTATTACACTTATGCAGGCATGCTAGTGTTATTTAAAATATTAGTGGTTATGGGCGGTGCCTATGGCTCAAGGAGTAGGGCTCCAGCCCCATATGCCAGAGGTAGTGGGTTCAAGCCCAGCCCTAGCCAAAAACTGCAAAAGAAAAATATATATATATATGTATGTAAAAAATATATATATACATATGTGTATGTATACATATGTGTGTGCACATATATATATTAGCAGTTATTGCACGAGATCCTGGGATTTTAGTGACTTGCAAAATTCTGTGTCTGTGTGAAAGAAGGGAAAGAAAAGCACTTTCTCTGCTCTGTTATGGAATTGTTGGAGTCAAAATTTTGCTTATGTCTCATAAACTAGAAAAAAATACATATAAAGTTTAGCAAAAGGCAGTTCTTTCTCTAAGAAAGATTTTTAAAACTTTGAATGTACATTTAATTAGCAT